GGCGTAGCGAGCGCTTTCCCGTATCCATCCGAAGCCGCCCGAAAAGAACAGGACGACGACGGATATACGAAACCTCGCTGGCAGAACACCTGAGCGGAGCCGCCCAGCCTTCGGTCGACGAGGATTGGCGACAGAGCAAGGGCGTCAGTAGGAGGCTCGCTGGTTCACTTGTGTATTTCTTGCCGATGGATTCCATGATCCGTCAAAAGCAGGTTTGGAAGGTGAGAAGGATTAAGCTGGCGTTCTTTTGATGGGCGCTGGTGAACGAGTTTTCGTGGATGGTGTCGGAGGTCGGAAATGGCGGTCATTGGCTCCTAGACGGTAACCGCGGCTGAGGCTTGCTATAGGCTTGGATGCGATAACGATCTGAGTCGCGATGTGTTGCTATCTTTCTCTTTTGTTCTCAGAAGGGGAGGCCGTTGCGACGGGCTTTGTGGACCATGAAGATTTTGCAGGGGCACGCTCGGAGAGACTCATCTAGGTGCATGGGTAGACCAGCAACGCCGACGGCGGCGGTGTGCGCGGAGGATTCGATGAGGTTATGAGGTCGGGATGTTGCGGCTGCACTAGAAAGCAGGCGAGGTACTTCGCAACTCGCTATTCGTGTCGTCACGCTCGATTTTTCGATGCTTGTATGAGCGTGCCATTGCGTGCTGGCTGTAGTCCCCATGCACCATCGGCGGTCGTTATGAACGTCGTGAACAGAGCCATCATTACATGATTGCAAAATGTCCTCGTCATTTTTCAAGAACACTATAATGATTTGTTTCCACTGACTCAAAACCAGTCTTTATAAATGAATTTCACAATTATTTTACCTTGCGATCTTTTCCGATTGTTGAGGACGATGAGTTCACGAGGCCTTTGGATGTCATGAGGAAGCCGAGAGTTAGGGGCCTCGCGCAATGGGACTTTCATAATGAACAGGAAGCGAGATGTGTGCCACCGATCTTTCCTAGGACAAGCGTTGAAGATGAAAGAACAAGAAGCGCCCAGACTTGCCGTGCTTTGGGTTGGCGACGTTGTTTGAGGCGCTGGAGACGAGATAGAGGGGCAGGAAGTAGGCCGGAGATTAAGTTCTTCGCTTTTTTCTACGATATATAACGAAACCAGCGAAGGTCCTTCCTTTGGGCATCACCAATCCCTACCCACAAAGGCCCGAACAGGCATGCATTCCAATGGTGTTCTAGTTTAACGAACCCGGCGGCGAGGACGGTGTGAGGTGGGCGCATATATAACTTCCTTAACGGGTTCCCTTCCAGGTGATGCGACGAGCCATTCGCGCAGAACAGGCGAATAACGAAGGCTGCAATGGCGGACAAAAGGCAGCGGCCTGTGACGAGTACCCAAAGGGACACGAGCGGTGATTCGAGAGCCTGAAAGAGCAATGGCGAGAGGCAAGGAGGATCCAGGCGGCGACGTCGTGTAGAGCGGCGGACATGGCCATGCGGCCAATGTCAGGTCGGTGATGAGAAGCTTCGACTCGCAGCAGGGATTCGAGCAATGTACAGGGAAGGCGGTGATGGACAGGAGCGACGCCCATCGAGACAAGGAAAGATGGGCCGCGGAACGCCGTACGGCGATGTGTGTTGGCTGCTCGAGGACAACAGAGGATGCCGATGCCGAGGAGGAAAGGCAGAGAAATGCGGCACGGCGATGGAGAGTGCTCGATTTTCGTGCGGCGGAGGGAGTTGGAGGTCGATTTCGAGACCCCACCGAAGAGAAGAAGAGAAGTGCGATTTGGCAAGCGGTCAGCACTGTCAGCTCTGTTTTGGGGAAAATGACGTCAGGAACGCTTTGTTGCGGCCCACAGCGCTGCGGCACCTAACCAGATGCCGCCACTGGCATTACACAGTTTATTATTGCATCACTAACACATCATACTATAATTCTGAGAAATAAAATTGCTTGGTGTTTTAAATTCCTATGATTGTATTTTAGCATCCACATAGTCTTTATTAACATTAATGAGAAGAATGTGTCTTGAAAAAATCAATATAGAATGTGAGAAATTGACTCTCAATGTTTCTTTTTGGAGATTTTCTATTATAGCCTAAAGAGTTCTTATTTGCGAAAAATTGATGATAATTTCTATTAGTAAAATCAATAAAGAATATTTAAGTAAATATAAACTCATGATCAACAGCATCATCGCTTTAATCTAATCAGCTCAAAATGAATACGATTTTTTTTTTTGATTTTATATTAGAATTAATATTACGTATAATTTTCTGAGTTTTATTAATTTTAAATAAAAGATTTTTTTTTTTAATCATTCATATGTATTTTGCATCTTCTTATTCTTAACATAACGAGAAGAAATTCTTGAAAACATCATTAGAAGTAATAAGTGATCTCAGCCAATGCTAATAATTTAGGAATTTTCTGTAATCAGCTGAAGTATTTCTTATTTGAAAAAAGGATAATGTTATTACGATAATCAATATACAGAGTATTTTTAAGAAACAGGAGAAGATGACAGAATTCAATTTAATGATCATAATGCAATGTTGATGATTACAAAGAAAATTTCTCGTGTTGAAAAAATAAAGAAAAAGGAAAACTCACAATGACTTCAGCGATGACGCGGGTGGTGGAGGGGCGAAGCAGGAAAGCTTAGGGTTCGCGTGAGGACGACGATGAGGCAGTCTGAAGGATCGCTAGCGGCAGAGCGAAATCGGCGAATGCTCAGCCTTAGACAAGGACCCGCTTTCGAAGTACGCCTTCTCATCTGGCTGCAGACATGTCTGAATTCGCCATTCGTCGATGTTGCCTTTGAAGATACAGGAAATTAACGACGATCGATTGATCCAAGGCATCTTTTAATTACAAGTTCATGATTTTTTTGTATGAATCATGTGTGGAGGATAATTATATTCTCTATTTTTTTTCTGATTTGTGAAATAATTCTGGAAGATATGAATAAATAGATTTCTGGATTCAGTGAAAGAGATTTGAAAAAAAAGGGATTTAGAGATATGATAAGCACACTTTTTATGGAAGAGAAATTCGGGAGGCTGGGTTTTCCTGCCGATCTCTGTAGCTGTTCTGTTGTGAATGAGCCGTTCAGTTGATTTCTTTCCTATTAAAGAGAGAAGGCTACGAGCGCCGCGGTTTTGACTGTTGATGCGGCTTCCCCAAACTAAAAAATAGATTCATAATTTTGAAGGTGGGACAAATTGGATCAAACATCTAACCCCAAAATAGGATAACATTACAACTTTATATTAAATTAATATAAAATATTAAAAATATAATTAATATTTATTTTATATTTTAGATAAATTATATAATAATTATAATTATTATCAGAATTAACATTATATTTTTACATCTATAATTATTTTAGTTTATATTATTTATAATTAATAATAGATAAAAAGTTGATTTTGATGATGTATATTAAAAAATGAATTTTTTTTTTTGTGAATTAGCCGTTCTGTTTTCTTTTCCTATTTAAAGGTAGGAGGCGCGAGCGCCGCAGTTCAACCGTTGATTTTGGCCTTCCGCCAAACTATAAAAATAGATTTATAATTGTGTAGGGTGGGGCAAATTATTGGATCAACATCTAACAAAAAAATGAGGAACTGTTACTACTTTATATTAAATTTAATATTACAATATGTAAAAAAATATTAATATTTATATTTTATTTTAGATGTTTAAAATTTTTATAATCATAAATTATATATCAAATTAACAATTATATTTTTACATCCATAGAATTAATAGTGTTATATATATTTATAAATAATAAAATTAGATTAAAGTGATTTTTGATGATGTATATTTCAAAATATTTTTTTTTTTTTTTGTGAATTAGCCGTTATGTTTTTCTTTCCTATTTAAGGGAGGAGGAGCGCTAGCGCGCGATTTAGGACCGTCTGATTGGACCTTCCGTCAAACTTAAAATAAACAGATTTATAATTTGAATGGTGGGAAAAATGGATGAAACATCTAACCAAAAATAGGAGAACGTTACTATTTAATAAAATATTAAAAATTATTTATTATTTTACTTATATTTAGATAAAATTTTAATCATAAATTATATACCAAATTAACATTATATTTTTACAAGCGGCGGAATCCTATTGTATCTCTAGGGCAGCCCCGCGGCCGACCCCCACCCACCCCCCACCGCCATCCCCCCTCCCTTCCCGCCCCCCCTTCCCCCCCCCTCAAAAAAAATTTAACTTAAAGGAGACGTAAAAATATCCATTTTGCCCCTCCTAAAAATATCATTTTTGCGCCCCCGCTAAAAAGCTTTTTTGCCTCCCTATTTGATCATTTGCTGATTCATCTCATCATATCCATTACATTTTTGCTTTATCTTCTCCCAATGTATCATCTTTATTCTTTTTTTTAATTGCTTTGATAATAGAGATAGTAATGAAGGCTCATATTTCTATATACAATAACTTTAGTTTGGAAATACCTTTTGAAAGTGAGTAATTAGTGCACAAAAAATCTCTATTGATTGATTAGATATCAAATTATGTGTATATTTGTTTCTGTTCTTGCAATATTTTTTTTTTTACTTTTTTTGTGGCTAAAATATGGTGATGGTTATTGATAGAACATTTAGTTCTGCATTTGGAAGCTAAGTTTTTTTTTTTTAGATCAAATTTAAGCTTAAAAAAATTTAAAACAAATTTTCATAATATTATATATAATATTTTAATATTTAATTATATAATTATTTTTTTATTTTTTTATTTAATTTTTTTTATATTAAAATTGCCCCCCTCAAAATTGGAGCTGGTTCCGCCCTTGTATCAAATTACATCTATTTTTTAAGGTTTGCCTTTCATCTTCTCTTTTCTTCGTTGATGAATAGATTGCAGGCGTCGCTTCTTCGGCTCTCGTGGCTGTGCGACTTCGCTCCTTCAGACGACTTTCTCCCTTTCGCGCGCTTATAACGTTAAATCCCGTTAAATCCGCCGAACCGAGGGATTTAGGGTGAGTTTGGGACGGCTGCAGCTGTCGGTAAAGCAGGTTGTGAAATTGTTGTACATAAAGTTGCTTTTTAAAGTTGATGTATAGAAATCAGTCAATTTTGTTTGAGTAGTATTACTGTCGAACTGCTATGCTGCTGCTGTTTGATAACAAATTACCTTGTTACCCTTACATATGTGAAGAAGAATAAAATTTGTTCAAATTTAAATTTTTTTTAACTCATATGTTAACAATTCTTGAATTTCATGCAATCCAAATTTATTTTTTTTTTTAAACTCAAATTTAATCTTTTTTAACTCATAGTGATCATCTCCCGTGTCCGTCATCAAAATCTCGTCTCCTTATAGGGCTGCACATCGCCGAGAAGCCGCGAGCTCGTCCTCGTCTAGGAGTTCGTTCCCAATGGCACCGTTGCTGACATCTCCACGGCAGCCTCGCCAGCGAAGGCCGGCTAACTTGTCCATTTCGCCATTCCATCGCCGTCGAGACGGCAATTGCGCTCACCTACCTCTACATTTTGCTCAAGTTCTTGATATTAACACATTATTTTCAGTCGAATCGAGGCGAGGAAACGGTCACATTACCGCCTGCGAGGTTCTTCTCTTCCCAAAACCGGTTCACCGTCTTCTTCTAGATGTTAAAGCTGGCGTTTTGACCAATTTTACAGGGCGGCGGCTGCCGCTGCCTCAGCGGCAGCGCTGATGCTCGGAGGAGAAATCCGGGATTTACGGAATCCCGGGATTTAACGCGCGCACAAAAACCGTTTGGCTGGATTTAGCGTAAATCCGACTTAAATCCCGCTGTAAATCCGATATCAAACAGCCCCTTAGGGTTTATCTTTATTCTGTTAAGCGTGATCCTCTGTTTCTTACGTTGCCATTGCAAAATGGTTCCGCTGGCTGTTGTGATCGTCGGGCTTCTTCTGCCGCTGGCGGCAGCGGCGACGTCGTCCTCTGGCCCCCATATAGCAGACCTCAACATTTTGTTGCCCCCTCGCTTGACGAATCCCGTGCAGTACCGACTTCAAGGGAGTGATGGCTGCTTCTCCTGGTTCTCTATCTACTTCTTTTTTATCGCCACTTTCTTCTGTGTGTTATGCGAGATTTTCTACTCTCCGTTGGATGCATTTTTTAAATACTACTACACTAATTGCTTAACATTTTTTACACTGACTTTCTACGCTCCGTTAAATGCATATTTTGAAAACTACTACACTAACAGGTTAACATTTCTACACTGACTTCCTTCTTCGTTTCTCCCTCTCTGTTGGCGTTCTTGTATCGAACTGCATCTTGAAAGGGTATATTGGTTGCAAAAAGCAACGCATTTCTTCTCTTTTTATTTTAAGGCTTCCAACAAACACCGAGATATTTTATCCTCAGCCTTGTTACTTTCCTGTGAAGAATGCGGCCCTTTAGGCTCCCTCGGTGGGAGTATGGTTGTAAATGACACCTATACGCGGCAATTCCTAGAAATACTAGTAAGGGCAGCGGGCGATATCACCCTTCATGGATAATAGCTGCCGCGATGCCTCTCTCTCTCTCTCTCTCTCTACGACTACATCCCCCTGTTGTTTTGGCTTCTCATTAGTGAAATAAGTGGCATTGTCGAATTTGGTAAGTTCTGTCAGACCAAATGACAGGTTCCACGGTATGATCATGACATAAAATCAAACTAGATAGGTGAAAACTAAAACTAATATTAGAATTTCTCTAAATTTCTAACATATAATCATTTTCCCTAATTTGTTCCATAATTTTATATGATTTCCTTTCTAGCATTTATTTTATTTTAAATATATATATATATGTTTTGCAAGTGATTGTGCAAGTTCTCTAGGTCTAAATCAATTGAATTTCGATATGATTTACAAATTTTTTAGGTTGAGATTCTATGTGACTATTTCATGCTTATGTTTCTTATTGGCAAATAAATATTATTGAATATCAGCTATTAACAATATTTTAAAAAGCATAATTACTTGATATTATGTAATGAGGCCTAAGCTTAAATTTATATATTTAAAATTATTAACATATTTTTTGATGATATAAAATGAAAGAAATAATTTCATACTTAACTAAAAACAAGTTTTTTATGTTTTTTAATCAGTCTCATTAATATTTCACATCAAAATATAACTAAATTAGCATGAAGTTAGTTATGTAATATCTATTTATCTTGAAAAAATATTATTAGAATAAAAAGTATGATAGACCGGCTAAGCCAGTGGGCCCCACTAGGGTTGGCGGCGGGAAAGAAGAGCAAATGAGATTAATTCCACTTTAATTACTTACCATAGAAAACTAAATTTGGGAGGGAATTTGGAAAGTTTATCTCGCAAGCACTAGATATTTTTGGCTTGTATTATTGGTGATATAATTCCATATCATAAAAATACCTATGATTATAGAGGGTAGATGGTTAAGGAGTGGTTCAATAGCTCTTGGGCTAACAGTTTGACTTATTAGTTGAGCCCATCTTGAATTACACTTCTTATCGAAGGAAATAATTGCAACCTTATGGATGTTTGATCAAGATAAGTTGATTTAGCAATAAGAGATTATAAAATGCTGTATGTTCTTTTATTGAAACTACTTTTCATTAGATGTTGAAGTTTTTCTTTAATGATAATCCTAATAATCCTCTTGTTGCAAGCTGATAGTTGATTCTTATATCGAGTTTTTTTTTTATAATTTTTTTAATTCTGTCAACTGATGCTTTTTTCATTCTTTAACAGATCATGGGATCATCATGATCTTCTATTAGTTCAACCTGAATATAATGGTAGTAGTCAATGCTCCACAAGTGCCAGATTGATATCAATTGCTCCATATAGTGATAGGAAAGAGATTGCTGTCTATGCTACAGACCTCCTAACTGGGTCTATGGTTCGATGTAAAGTTCTTATTGATAAAATTTCCAGGATTAAAATATTCCATCATGCGGTCAAAATTAACTTGGACGATCTAGCAACACTAAATATTACCGCATTTGATGACGAAGGTATCTTGAATAATACTAATGATGCCCCTTTAGTTATTCATCATTACAACCATTATGTGCATCTATTTATATTTTAATATCCTTTGATATAATTTTTTTAGCAAAGAAATATGAGTGAAATATTGAAGATGCTGTTTGTGCCAAGTACTTCAGCTTGTAGAGAAATAGTAACAAGAGAGTTATTTCCTCATTAAATGCTTGAATTCTACAATCTATTAGGTTGGGGCATGCAAGCGTCTACTTTGGGTACTTTACTTGTGAAGGCTCCATCATTTGATGATATAAGCCATGTTGCAGAGGGTAAAACCAAGGCTTGCTGACTAAGAAGATATCCCTAAGATATATTCAAATTGTCTATTTTCTTCAGCCTATTGGCAATATAAGTGTGAATGCTTGAAAATCTTTCTCCATTTTCACTTTGATGTTGGATAGGTATAAGATGAATTCAAGTTGACTAACAAGAGAAAGTCCCAGATGTTTGACCATACCATTCCTGCCCAAATGGGGGTATTGGTTTATACTAATAATTTTGGCAAAGTTTGCGTCATGGTTGGACTTTTTTGTTTGGCTAGTCTCTATTGCTCCTTCTTTGTATGTGTTGCTACTTCCACATAACTAGGAAGCTTAAATCATATTGTCATTTACTGTCATACATGATGTATGTAGAATGCCTTTGCTGCCAAGTATCATTCACGAGGATTTTGTAAGGGATGACTGAAGATACCTTTAAGGCAACTCTTGAATTGGTAATGCTATTCAGCAAAGGCTTAAATGGTAGATTTGAAGTGTCGCAGGTATTGCCATGATTACCTTCAATCAAATCCAGTATCTCAAAATATTCCTGAGGTGAGGAGCCTGTATCAACCTTTAACTAAAAAGTATTATTGGTCAGTGGAGAGCTGGTGCTACCCTTTCCAAAATTTCATGGTAAATAATTTTGCGGTCTTAGGAGACTATTCCAATGGTGTGAATATGTTAGTTTGAAGGTCACCAGGGTGGTGGGGTTGAATTTGGTTTGCACTAAAACTATTGAAATTCTTGCAAATCTCTTTACAACTCAAACCCTTACAATAAGCTTGTGGAAGATAAACAAATAAATAAATCAACAAGACACACAAGCATACACAGTAGGTGTTTATAAGTATACAAATGTGATAAACTAATTTAAAAGTGAGGAAGTGTTAAGCCAATGTAGATAATATCACAGAACTTGTAATCAAGCAAAGCAACACACAAATATAAGAAAACATAGTTTCGTTGCTGTTGAATCAAAGGCTGTTAGTCTGTTATAGGTGCTGTGGACTAGCACATGTAGCTGGCAGGAGATGTTTGTTTTTTAAACATCTTGCGTTTATGCAAGTTTATCCCCTTTATTTTTTGTACTTATTTAAATTTTACTTTTAACCGCTTTTGATCTGTTCTCCTTTCCGAACTTATGTTTGTATTTGTTTGTTATATTATTTAGTGTTCGATCTCATGACAAATCGTGGATACGTGTGAATATTGGCCATGCCTATAAAATTTCCTTATAAATAGCTACTAGATAAGTATAAGCGATGTGTTTCTGTCTGATTATCTTAAACTTGGATAGTTGAACTGAGTTTGATCATTAAGCTGTGCCGGAATTTGCCATGTGTTTTCTTACATTTGTTTTCTCTATTGTTCATTTGCTTTGATTTAGTTGATGTTGTGAACTTTGATCTAATTGTGGTTTTCAGATGTAGTTGTAGTAGTTAATCAGAAGACTTGAGCTGAACTAGTTCTATGTGAGTGTATCATGATTAAGTAAGAATTGACACAATATCTCTTAATTTCAATTTAATGTTTTTTAATTTTGTGTAAGGTTATCAAGGACATGGACGCCTTTCTGTTTCATAGGAAGGTGATAAAATGGCTTCATAGAAACTGACTTTACTATTTAATTGATTTAATTTTAGAAACAATTTTTAGATGTTGATGCATCTTGCTACATATAGTTTTTGCATAGTCATCAACATACAAACATCATAGAACTTCTTGTGTCTCAAGTTTTGGATGAGAAAAATGGAGGGTTGTGTTAGGTAGTCGACAACCAACGTAAAACTTGTTGAATAATTATGACATGAATCTTTTAATAGATTGTGTCAATGTTAGGGTGTTTCTTGGAAGCAATGAGTTGTATGACCTAAATATAGCGAAAAGCATGCAAGGGCAGCTACATCGGCGTTCAGGTGCAATGTTAAATAAGCTAGGGTTTCCACATCATGGATAGATGTGGAAAAAAAGCTAGTCCATGAAACTAGAATTAAGATAATAACTTTGACTATTTATACTCTTACAGACAAATTAATGAAATTAATAGATATTATGAATTATATGAAGATAAATATTTTATGTATTTAGGAAACTAGATGGGTTGGGGAAAAGGTTAAGGAGATTTATAGTTTAAGATTTAAATTTTGGTATTAAGATATGTGTCATATTAGAAATAGTATAGGTATTATTATAAATAAGTGTTAGAAGGATAATATATAGATATTAATAAAATTAAAGTTAAAATCGTAGCTTTAAAGATTGTTATTAATTTTATGTTAATACTTTATTTAAGAAAGGAGAGGAGCATCTAATCACTTGTAAGAATGATATAACAAAACTCAAATTATTTTTTTAATAAGAAAAATAGATCATAGATTGCAAATATTATAAAGTCATTATGTGTGAAAGTTTATGCATCTAGCATTGGTATTAGTTTTAAATTTTGAGATGAAGGGTGAAAAATAAAATAAATAAAATAAAATATTGTCATAATATTAGATGGTGTGTTTGAAAAATATTAATAAAAATATTTTAGAAATGTTTGGGATATCAAAGAATTTCTTGGCTTACTAAACTTCTTAATATTATTTTGTAGGCTTAAAAGATACCATATGAGTGGAGAAAAAGCGCTTTTATTCCTAATTTTAAAAATAAAGGTGATGCCCTAGGTTGTGCTAATTATAGAGGATTAAATTAATATGTATACATTAATAGTATGGGAGAATAATTAAGCATATGTTAGGATATGATACTATTGTTTATCAAAATCAGTTTGGATTTATGCTGGGTAGGTCTAATATGGAAGCTATACATTTGTTGTGAGGTTTGATGGAGAAGTATAGAGAGTAAGGAATATCTAAATATGAGAAAACATATGAGAAAGTTTCAAGAGAAGTGCTCTAGAGAGTTCTAGAAAAGAAATGAGTTACTAAGGCTTCTATTCAAGTCATTAAGGATACACATATAGGAGCGGTTACCTATGTTGAAACATAAGGTGGTTTGACCTAGTATTTTACTATTTCAGTTGGACTACATTGATGATCAACCCATATTTTTTGCTCTAGTCATGGATGTTCGTACTACATATTTGCAAGAGGATATATCTTGGTGTATGTTTTTTGTTGATGATATTCTTCTTATGGATAAGAGTAGTGTATCTTCCTTGCCCAGCTATGGTTGTCACTTGTGGCTTGGTGGCTGTAATTTTTTATTCATTTCACTTTTTAAACTTCTAATGTGTTCTAATCTTCATTTTTTTGAATTCCTGCAGAAAATGTGTTCTCATCATTGGTAGGCTTACAGTTTTCATGGCAGCTACTTCCCAAGTCTTTGGAGGCTGAGAGTATGCATCGTCTTATTCATGTTCCACTGAAGGAAACACCTCTCGGTGACTGTGTTAGTGGTTTTTGTGAGGATCTGGACGTCCAACTTCAGTTGGAAGATAAGGTACCTTTTGTATTATGATCGTTGCATACCTCATAATAAAATTGGATAAATTTATCACTATGTATAAAGACTTTCTTGCTGTATCTATGCATGGCAGGGGTTAGGTTCTAATTTATATGTTGTCAAAGGAATTGGAATTGGCCATGAGATTGTTAAAGCCAAGTTGCTTGAACCACAACTAGAACATTTGGAGGATGAGATTACTTTAACTGTTGCAGAAGCAATGTCCCTAGATCCTCCCTCACCCATCTTTGTGACTGTTGGTTCATTGATATACTACAGTCTCAGGGTTATTCATGGAAATACTCATCAAGGTTTTAAAGGCAAATTCTATTAGAGTCGATTTACTTATATTTTATTATTTGCTTTACTTATATTTTATTATATGCTTTTGTATGTTTATGAGCTTTTATTTGAATGAAATTGATAGAACCTTCGCTTTGAATATTCAGCATGGATTTGAAACATTAAGTTGAAATATTACACTTTATATGTTTTGGATTATTAGTTAAGTAGTTGTGAATTTTTAATTCTTATTGCTCACAACAAGAATTTGTCTATATGTATTGGACTTTTAGCTAGGCTGTCATAGTTAAATGGGGGATCTAGGACTTGGGAATTTGTTGGAGTTATGGGGAAATATGTAGCAGAGTTTTGAAGTGGTTGAAGGTGTCATGGGGTTGAGACACACTATGATTTAGGATTGGCTGAGCCTTATGTGGAGAGGGGAATTGTGTTGCAATAGAGGAATTCGAGTGAGAAAAGATAACTAATGACTCATTAAAGCCTTTGGGGATCAACCACCAAGATTTATCAAAGAGTAGAGAAACTACCAAGCCATTCTACATGAAATTTTAAGTAAAGTTAATTTTATTCTAGGAAATCAAAAGTACAATTTATGTTTTTATCTTAAGTAAAGTTAAGGTGTGATGAAGCGCTTTCAAATCCATTTTATTGCTCGATTTGGCACAGTTTTTTTATTACTTTCTAAATTAACTTTTTGGAACCAAAATTTATACTTCAAAAAATATTTGTACTAAAAAAATATTTTAAAAAATAGTAAAAAAAATCGTCCTAAACGAAGCCTATATCGTGCAGAGCACCGCTATCCAATATCTACAATGTCACGAAGATGAGAGAGGACAACATAGATCCAATTTAATTATTGTTTCATGCTAAAAATAAATAGAGCAACAAGAAACATAATTTTTAATTTGAATGGAAATATAAGACTTTAGGTCTTATTATGCGCTACTTTTTCTTTGACAAATATCAGAATTTGATTTTATTATTATTATATTTTTATTTTCTTATCATATTTTAGAAATTTTTATGATGAAAGATGATTTTTTGTAATCATAATAATTAAGTTGTTTTCTCCATAATAAACTCGCAAACAATTTTTAAAAATGCCGCAACAGTCCCAAATAGTTCCTTAGCTAAGTTGGAATAGCTTTTATTAATAATAATTTGAATTATAAGAGGTTGAATTTTCCAAAATTTAGGCAATGTATTAATACAAAATCAAGTTATGAAGGATTGTTGTGTATCCCTAATGATGGTAGCATAAGAAAAGTATAGAGGGGTGCCATATTAGAGGACTTGCATAAAAATGAAATAGGAGAGATACACATAGCCGTAACAAAATTTGCTAAAAGTTGCATGACGCCATAGTGAGGGTGACCCGGGCGTCCATGCCATAAGGATGTGGAGGTGGGCCTTGAGTGAAGCGCAATTGCTGGAGTGTGGTTAATGGTGGATATCAAGTAGAGATCGTCATGGGTTTGTCCACGATAGAGGATTTGATTGTCCACTAGATCCTGAATTGTGAAACAATGAGCATCGAAAGAAATGGTGCAATGATTATCGGATGTTAAATTGTGAATGGAAAGCAAATTGTGAGGTAGAGAGGGTACATGGAGAAAATTATGTATGAGGAGCTTACGTGGAGTGTTAGATAGAGGCAGTATACCTTGACCTTGGTCTTGAATGGATAGAGAACTACCATTTGATATGGAAACTAAGTCTTGGCTGAACTAGGATGTGGGCTGCTGGAGATTGAGTGGGTCGGCAGTTAGGTGTGATGAGGATCCTGAGTCAAATACCCATTTGGTTGTTGAGGTGTTTTGAGGTTGGGAGAGTTGGGCTCGCGATGGTCCGGACGAGGAGGTTGTGTATTGGAGCTTGCAACGATGCCAACAGGTAAGAGCAGTGTGTCCTATTTTTTGCATATCTGACTAGTTGTGCATGAATTGGTGTTAATGGGTAGAGGACGTTTGTCGGTGCTGTTGAGAGGCTAACGAAGGGATCCGCGAGTCCGACTGGCTAAGTTGGGCTTTATGCAGAAAGCTCTTGTGCGACCTAAGTAGAGAGCAAGGTGATCCTAGGAATGTGCAATTTCCCTTTGAGATTCATGCTGAATGTTGATTTCCTCACTACACATAAGCGAGTGCATGACATGAAGGTTGATAGGTGTAGAGAGGTGCGGATGGCGGCTTTGAAGGAGTTGTAGGTGCACGGCGGGCCATTGAGGATATACAACATAATGTCCTCGAAATCAACATATGAGTCAACGACAGCAATATTATCGACTAGAGTTTTGATTTGGGCAAGGTATTGGTTCATGGTGTTGTCCTTCATATGTATGTTGTGAAGTTCAATCTTCAGTTGAATCCATTGATCGGTTGGTAAGTTGAAGTCGGTTTGCCAATGTGAACCAGATTTCGTGCACATTGGATAGATGAAGAATGTAGAGTAACACATAGGGAGAGATTATGGAGAATAGGGCGGAAACAATATTTTGATATATAAGGTGCCACAAATGTTTGTCGGGATGGATAGAGGATTCGCTCGGGCAAGCCTAATGTCCGGTAAGGTATCCTTCAAAGTCATTTTGTATATCTATAAACTCCAAATGGCGTAGATTTCATTGTTGAGTTGTAAATTAACAATAAGTTTGAGATTAGACATTAGGAACTTGAGAGGGATTGAACAACAAATTCGGCCATTGACGCAAACAAATAGGAGGCTGGAGGAATAGCATAGGAGGAGGCTTGATTGACCACTTGGAAGAATAGGCGGTGAGGCTTATCACTCTAATACCATGAAGAAACTCTTACACGGTTATCTAGTGAGTTATGCTATGAGTGACTAGCATCACGCCTTGAAGTAAATATTGATTACCCATCGGGTTTCACTAAGGGGCTGTTTGGTATGATGTATTAGGAGGGTAAAGTAAAACAATTACATGCATTTGCTAAATTAGGTTGTTTGGTTTATTTTGAGTGGAAGAAAAGGAAATACTCCAAAGCATTATCTGTGTATTACGGTAAGTGTTTCTCGCGAAATAGAAACTCGCTCAAATTGCGGGTTCTAAATTCTCTCGACGAAATGCTTTTTTTCATGGTCGTTGTTGTTTGGCTTCATTGCTTCGCAGGAGGTGTAAGATTGCACGAGTGGCTTTTTCGGCTCCTTCGTTCTCGTTCGACTTCGCTCCTTCGACGACGATCCCTTCTCCTGTCAGATCGGAAGCTGCGACATTTTCATTGGAAGTAAGGACGGCAGCTCGCTAGTTGTGAATGTAACTTTCTCCCTTTCGCGACCTTCTTCGGCCAAATCCCGTCAATCCTTCGAACTACAGGAATTGGTACAAAAATCCAGATTTATTCCGCGATGAAATTTATGTTAAGCGTTTAATCCTGCTCAAACCTTGTATTATTTCTCTTTTTTGCGGTGAGATGGAGGAGCTTCTGTTATAGTATTCTCTGAAGTATGAAGCATAATCAGAGGTTAGGATTTCGAATTGCACTTTTCCCAAATTTCCTTGTCTGCTTTCCTTCCCCCCTTTGAACGGTTTGAAGAGACGCTGCGATTGCTTTGACTGTATCAGCACCTTCTTCACTCCTTGAGGTTCTCTGTGGATGTAATGCCTTTGATTTGGCAAGAGGGAAGAGTCTGCATAGTTTCTCTATAAGAGAAATGGTCGAATGACTTCGGGTCATTCAGTACTACAGTGTTAGCTTTGAGAATAAAATTAAATAAATATTTTGGTTGATATTTTTTGCTGGTGCAAAGTCAATGCAATAACACCATTAATAATTAATGTGCATAAATATAAATCTTATTATTCTATGTAGTATTTTTGTTGCCAGATCAAGTAATATTCTGACCAACTGTATGAAAAATGAAAAGCTTGTGAAAATAAAAAAAGACATGAGTTTATTTTGTTGTTTTGATTATTCTGCATTTTTTTAAAGTTGTTAATTATGAATGTAGTTGAATGCTGAAGTCTGCCCTTCAGATAAGTAGATATAAGCTGAAAACGTATTGAATCTATTGAGATGGGTAGATTTATAAAAAATATAACTCTGACTTTATAATCTGTATCCTCCCTGCCTGGCACTGAGGATCTCTGAATAATTGGGTTGTAATCAAAGTTGGGTGTATAAACTTTGAGTACTCCTGGACGGAAGAAGCTTAGGACGACATCACCAAACAAACAAACTTGATCCTCTTCTATGTGCTCGATGACCTGCATTGTTTGATTCTCATGATTGTTAGAAGAAAACACAAATTAGACAAAGTAAGGATTCTATATCCTTTGATTGAGAATCAAATATCCACACATCACTAACATTTATGCACTGGAGTTGTATGGGAATTGAAGTTGAGAAAAAATATATATCCGTGAAATAGAATTAATTTAAATTACAATTTAAAGAAATTTAATTTACAGCAAAGTTGTGTAGAAATTGTATGCAAACTGAAATTTTATGTTTATATGGTTTTTTGTGTGAAAGGTTGATGCTCAAAGTTCATCTCTTAATCCTTTCTAATTTTCAACAACATCTAGTAGTATTATAATATTATCGTGCAATAAATGAATACACTTGTTTTAATGCCAAAATAAATTATTTAAAAAAATGCTTTTACTTTACTTTGGATATAACTAAACAAACAAGGGAAACAATTCTCCTGCATTTATACTTTACTTTGGACATAACTAAAGATCAGTTGGTGGTAAAACCATAATATATCGGTTTATACTCTTTTTTTCCATTATTATACTTTTATTTACCTTAGCTCTTTTACTAAGACAGCATTAATGCAGAACAATGTTAACCAAATACTGAACAAAGATATACAAAAAGGACTAATTTCAGCTTAGCACTCCTAAAACCTCCCCTTAACATAGCTGAAATAGGGCAAATTATTACGTGCGGTGTCCGGACCATTCGGGGGCAAATCCGGACGCGCCACGTCACCCCCGAATGCACCGATGTCGGGGTAACATGACGCGTCTAGATTCGACTCCGAACAAATCCGGATGTTGAAGGTAATAATTTGCCCTGAAATAGAGCGTTGCCATGGAATATAAATGCTCCAACTTGTCTATGAACATATCATCTATGGGCTTTTTACTTGTTTTTCAATATACCATTGAATTCTTTACTCCATATTCATCAAAATAGTTACAGCCTTCTTTTTCTTAGCATGCAGAACATTTGTGCAATTGTAATAGAAAATTGAAAAAAATAATTATAAATAAATCTACAGAATTGTAACATTTTACACTCTGCAGCATCACAAGTTAAAAAGGCTATTCCAAAGCATAATTTACAACATTCAAAATAGTTCCATCCTGCCCAATGCAAGTAAGCAAATCCTAAATTCACTCACAAATGACACACTATCTTTGCAGCAGAAAGGCAGTTCCTACCAAACCCATCCAAAAAGCAAGCAGAGTCCAGAAGGCATGATTATTCTCTAATCCAACTGGGGTCTCCACACCATGAAGTCGCCGAAGAAGTCCCTCGGTGATGGAAGTTGGTTTGTAGTGCTAACAAACTTCTTTTCCTAACCCCCATCTTTGTATTTGTCACTCAAGGTTCCCGCGTATCTATAGTATTTTACTCATTTTTAATCATATTTCACAAGCCATGGCAATAAAGATCGACATGAATAAGGTAAATCAATGGAAAAATAAGATAACTGAAGCAGCACAATGAATAGATTTATTATTCTGTGCGGAGTGCAGAGGGCATCCGGAGACCAATAAAAAAGCGGCACGTCACGCCATTGCTGGGTACCCCGCTGGGTACCTAGTACTTAACTGGACGGTTCTCCTGTCCGGTGTCCCTACAGATGAAAAACTCCAATGAATAGGGGGTGCTAGTTCAGCATTAACGAAAGCTCATGGTATACCAAAGATTCTTGACATGTGTAAGATATTGACGAGAATTGATAAAAATTTTAATTTTTTGTAAAAAAAAATAATGTGTATTAACCCATCATCTTAGGTACATATAACTCATCATCAACAGCATCATCGCTATAAATCTATCAGCTCAAAAATGATACGAAATTTTTTTTTGGTTTTATATTAGAATTAACATTATGTATAATTTTCTGAGTTTTATTAATTTTAAATAAAAGAAATTTTCTTAATTCCTCATAATGTATTTTGCATCACAAATCTTAACATAACGAGAAGAAAATTCTTGAAAATATCATTAGAAGGTAAGAAATGATCTCTGTAATGTAATAATTGGAAATTTCTGTAATCAGATGAAGCATTCTTATTTGTAAAAACGGATAAATTTCTGTACCAAATCAATAAAGAGTATGTTAAGAAATAGGGGAAGATGACAGAATTCAATTTAATGATCATTAATAGCAATGATGATGATTACGAAGAAAAGTTCTCGGCTGAAAGAATAAAGAAACAGTAAAACTCACAATGACTTCAGCGATGACGCGGGGCTGGTGGAGGGGGCGGAGCAGGAAAGCTAGGGTTCGCGTGAGGACGACGACGAGGCAAATCTGGAGGATCGCTAGCAGTAGAGCAAATTCGAGCGGATTGTCACCTTGAAAAGACTTGTTCGAGGTCGCCTTCATCGGTTGCAGACATGTCGAATTTGCCATCGTCGATGCTGCCTTTGAAGATCATAGGAATTAATGACGATCAATGAATCCAAACAGTCTTTTAATTAAAAGTTCATGGTTGTTATGGGTGAATCGTGTGTGGAAGGATATATTAATTTTATCTCTGTTTTTTTATATTTGTGAATAATTTGGGAAGATATAAAGAAATAGATTTCTGGATTCAGTTAGAGAGATTGAAACAATGGGATTAGAATATTGATAAGCACCTTTCTTATGAAGAGAAATTTGGAGTTGAGAATTTCGTGCGATCTCTGAAGCTGTTCTTTTTTTTTTTTGGAATTAGCCGTTCTGTTTTTCATTCCTATGTAAAGGAGGCGCGAGCGCCGCGGGTTGAGACCGTTGAATGGGCCTTCCGCCAAACTTAAAAAATAGATTTCATAATTTGAAGGTGGGGAAAATCAGATCAAACATCTAACCCAAAAATAGGAATCTAAAAAAATAATTAAAAATCTGTTTAAAAATATGGTTATCATGTGGGTATATTATAATGGTGCTTAAATGGTAAATAATTATTATAAAAATTTACATTTATTATAAAATTTAAAAATGTTATATTTAAAAAAAAATATTAATTAATATTTCTTGGGGACATTTAGGCAAACTCACAAACACGTCAATGGGGCAACTTTTTATTATTTGCTTTGAATAGGTTGTGTGAAACCTGTTTTTCCTTCAAGGTTCGTCCGGACGATTGGTACAGGTTGTATAGGAATATTGGGACAGAGCAGTTCATCCTGGGACGAAATGGATTTCGTCCAGACGAAATGTATCCAGAGGGCAAGTCGTCCAGGGACAATTACTGTATACGTACATACGAGATTTGTCCAGTGGGCAAATTGTCCCGGGACGAAATTGGATCGTTCGGGACGATCTGGATGGATATATTTGGGAAATGAAGTTATTTTGAAGAGAGAGAAAGTCCAGGAGAGAGAAAGTCGAAGGAAAAAGAAGAAAAAGTAATTTTTGGACGACTTAAGAAAAATTTGAAAAATTCATCCACATCCGAGTTGACGACACAAAGATGAATGAGGAATGAGAAATTGCATGGGTTAATACACATTATTATTTTTTTTATCAATTATCGTCAACCTCTTACACATGTCAAGAATCTTTTGTATACCATGAGCTTTCGTTAATGCTGAACTAGCACCCCCTATTCATTGGAGCTTTTATTCTGTATGGACACTGGATGGGAGAATCGTCCGGTTAAGCACTGGGTACCCAGCTGTACCTAGGGGTATCGAGCTGGGTACCCAGCAATTGAATGACGTGGCACATTTTTATTGGTCTCCAAATGCCCATGCCCTATGCACTACGCATAGAATAATAAATCTATTCGTTGTGCTGCTTCAGTTATCTGGTTTTTCCAGTGTTTTACCTCTATTCATGTCAGTCTTTATTGTCATGGATTGTGAAATATAATTAAAGATGAGTAAAATACTACAGATACGCGGGAACCTGGAGCGACAAATACAAAGTGGGGGCCAGGGGAAAAAGTTTGTTAGCACTACAAACCAACTTCCATCATTGAGGGACTTCTTGGGTGATTTCATGGTGTAGAGACCCCCAGTTGGATTAGCGAAGAATCCTGCCTTCTGGACTCTGCTTGCTTTTTGGATGAGTTTGATAGGAACTGCCTTTCTGCTGCAAAGATAGTGTGTCATTTGGGAGTGAATTTAGGGGTTGTTTGCTTGGGCAGGATGGAACTATTTTGAATATTGTAAATTATGCTTTGGAATAGATTTTTTAACTTGTGATGCTGCACAGTGTGAAATGTTACAATTCTATAGATTTATTTGTTATTATTATTTATTTTTTCAATTTTTTAATGCGATTGCACAAACATTCTGCATGCTAAGAAAAAGAAGGCTGTAACTATTTTGATAAATATGGAGTGAATAATTCAATTGTATATTGAAAAACAAGAAAAAAGCACATAGATGATATATCCATAGACAAGTTGGAGCATTTATGTTCCATGGAAAGCTCTATTTCAGGGCAAATTATTACGTGCAGCATCCGGATTCATTCGGAGGCAAATCCAGATGCGCCACGTCACCCGGATGCACCGATATATTATGGTCCGAA